TTTCTGAAATTCCGAATTTCTGAATTTGCGAATTTTCGAATTTCTGAATTTCAGATTTTCTGAATTTCTGAATTTTCGAACTTCTGAATTTGCGAATTTTCGAATTTCTGAAATTCTGAATTTCTGAAATTTTTTGAATTTCTGAATTTCTGAAATTCCGAATTTCAGATTTTCTGAATTTCTGAATTTTCGAACTTCTGAATTTGCGAATTTTCGAATTTCTGAATTTTTGAATTTCTGAATTTCTGAATTTCCGAATTTCTGTAATTCTGAATTTCCGAGGTTTTCAACTTTTCGACTTTCAGAAACTTCGAACTTTGACGAATCTGAAAATTTGCTAGAATTCCAAATTCAGAAGACGTCACTATTGTCCACTCTCTCCCTTTGCCTATTTTCTATATTTCCTATCCCTTCTTCTTTAGATTCTACCCACTGCACGATTTTGTCACGTCACCACGAAGCGCATCCAGATGTTGTAGTGCACAAATGTCTCGTCAAAACTCTGAAGAGGCCGTCAGTCTGAAGTCGTTGGACCTCAACGATCATCGTCCGACGACGTTCTTCATTCCCGCCTCAGCCACGTCATCATCGACGAACCCAACGACGCCGACGTCGACGATTATGAGATTCGACGATGTGCTATCGCCGATCGACGAGAGGGAAGGGAGTGAAACGGATATACAAAAGAGATTAATGAGCAGGAGAAGTGTTGTGATGAATGAGATTGTTGATTCTTCATTAGCAGATGGAGAGGTTGCACTTCGAAAGTCCAGTGATAGTTGTCTGCATGTACATCATCAATTGTTGAGATCCGCTTCGGCGAAGCGCTTGTTGAGAAGGTCCTTTTTTGTGGCATGATTTGTTTACCCAATCGATTCAAATCCAGCAGTTCTTGTACGGCTTGCGGGCTGACACGATCTCGAGCGATTCCGGAGAACATTGAGACTGATGGGGAGGAGTTTCTGGAAATGTTGAGGGGTGCGATTAGAGGAAATAACAGATTTTGAGTTATTTAATGTACCGTATCACTTTGAGCT